CCCCGAGGCTCGGCTCTCTCTCACCGCGCAGCCACCCTCCACATACCTCCCTTGCCGCCCCGCACATATACTCCCGAGCCTCGGCGCCTCTCCTTGACCAACTAACCTAAATACTATGAACACACTACTAACTGTAAACCTACACTAAAATACACTATGCTAACAATACAATTCGACAAATTACTAGCTATTCTCTCTGCTCTACTACTCTCTCTGCTCTGATCCAACCTACTCGCTATCAGTTTGATAACTGTGGACAGAATGGTTTTATAGTAAGGGGAGGAGTAAAGGGAGGAGGGCAGGCTTTACCGTGGACGGTTAGTGATGTCATTCGCCCCGAAAAAGACTCATTCGCCTCCAATGTAATGTAATGTAAATTCAAATGTAGAAACTAGGTTTCAAGCTGTAGAGGGCACTCCATACCACTTTTTTAAAATAAAATGTAGCTTTTCAACAGTTTGCACTAAACCGTCACGATTTTGAGCAGAATCAGTCAGTAACACTACTATACAACCAGAAACAATGATTAAAAGCTGAAAAAAATGGTTTTAGGGTTTAGTTACTCTTTAAACATTAGCTCCATCTTAACCAGCAGCAACATTAAAGTGATGAGCACATTAATGCACCAAATGATTATAATACATTCAATTTATTTTATTCTGAAATGGGCCATTCTGCTTATTTTTGGTAGGCCTGCTTTATATTTGTGACACTAACAGACCTACTTTTGTACTTTAACTTGAATGATATTTTGAATGCAGGACTTGCAACAGCATATTTCTACACTGTTGCTGCTTTTACATATGGAGGCTAAAAGATTTGAGTAGGCTACTCCTTTGCCCACTGTAGTGTACTCGAATATTCATGTTTTTTTTTCATTGACACCCACAATTTTCATGCGGTGTAGTGCGTGCACTGTTTACCTCTCTATCATCTGCAGCTGCCTTTGCTGCTTCTGTAAGACGAAACTCTGTTCATGCACAGAGTTTTCACCTATAGTTAAATGAATGAGTCGTTTACCATTTAGTTAGTACTGGATCCGCACTGTAACGTTATGCAATGTGACTTTTGACAGAGAACATAATTTGATTCATGTTTGAGCCACAATCTAAAGAGTCCACTAACTGCACACTCCTTTGTCGCCTGAGAAGAAAGTATCAAACTCCCAAATAAAACTCCCAGAGTTTTGTGAGTTGTTGATTAGAGGAAACTTTACAAACACTCTGAAATGGTGTCTATGACAAATTCTTAATTATTTGTCCCCTCTTGTATAAGGATAGACCGATACATCGGCCGGCCGATATATCGGACCGATATCTGAGTTTTTTACTTGTATCGGCATCGGCCGATAGGCGCGTGGGTTCGCGGATTTATTTTTCCCTGGCATGATTTACAGACAGGCATCCACGGGCAGCTCTGTGTTGCCGGAAGACCCTGCAGCGCACATGCAGCGAATCTTACTGTGTACAGTAGTTGTTGTTTTATTTATGCTTCAGCTTAAATATTTGTTTATTTTATAAAGACATTACTGGAAGATTTAAGAGCACTGAACTCTTTTTTTTATTTGAATGTATAATAATAATAATAATAATAATAATAATAATATTCTACCTGTTCTACCTCAACTTTCCATCTTGTTTTAGTATTTTTTACTGTTCAATAAATGTTTCTTACTTTAAACGTGAGACCTGTAATATTTGTTATCATTGTGTAATTTTTTTGATGTAAATTGAGGGAGCAAAAGCAGTATCGGCCCCAAATATCAGCTCAAGAAAATCGGCAGTCCATAATCGGTCATCGGCTAAGGGTGATGGAAAAAAATCGGTATTGGCATCGGCCCTAAAAAATCCATATCGGTCTATCCCTACTCTTGTATATTTGGCAAATGTAACACATTTAGGTATTCCCTTCTTTGTATAAAAACAATCACCCTAACCACCCTCTCATTGGTTGCTTCTTGCCTCCATTCACTAAAGATACAAAATTACAACACTGCCCTTTTCTTCTGTGGCAATCAACCTCTCAAAGTGGAGAATTATTCAGGGCTAAAGACATCTATGTTTGGCTTTACTGGTGAAGGCGAAGCATTTTGAGGTGCATTGCCCCCTCTTGTTAATGCCTAGAACCAAAGTTTGTGACACAGCAGAAAAACATTGGCCACTGCCATCAGTGAATGCCATCTTATTTGCCAATAGGCCAATGACCCTACTTTTTAAGGAAAAGAACAACCTGCCTATTTGAAGAGCAATGAATTGTCTAACATGTATAGATACATATCACATTGAAACAGGACTGTTGTAGAATGCAAAATATTAACTGTACTGGTATTAGTCCACGCACATCAAATAATTATTAGTATTAAAGGGATACTTTGCCAGTTTTTAGCCAGCTTTGTAGCTGATCTGTAGTAAACTTCCCTCCATCTAACCCACACCTAGATCCCCCTTCTCATCTCCCTGCTTAAACATATCATCTCATCCGGCAGATTGAACCAGGCAGTACTGATCAAATATAAACCAAGATTCTGTAACTTTGTCGCCTGTTACTCGCCTAAATCATTTCAGAAATTTGAGATTGTTTGTTGCCAGCCAGCCGCGATATTGTTTCTTGTATCATAACAGACAAGCTCGCATTACGTCATCCACCAGCGGGAACGTTATTGATCCAGTGTGGCACAGTGCGTTCTTGTTGGCTATAGGTTTTCTACCTCTTGGGCAAAAACAAATGCCACAGCTTTTTTTCCCTCAGTTTTCTCTGTTCATGTAGCACCAATGTGAAAAGTATTTGCATCTCATTACTGCAAAGCCAGCCTAGTTTTATGGAAAGACCATCTTTCCTGCAGCCAAATGCTTCTATAATCGAAAAATAAGAAGCCAATCAAAACCAAACAAACCAATCCATGTTGGCTTAGTTTTCAAGTAGCCTATATGCTTTAACAGCATCATAGAATTCTTGACATTAAGTTTGGCTCTTAATTTTAGTGTGCCACCCTAAGACTTTCAGTGGCCCCCATATGGCCACACCTATAAAATGATTTCTGAGGGTGCCACTGTATGATTTGCCTTGAGGAAAAAGTGAGAAAAATAATATAATCATAAAAATGTGAGGAAGAAGACAGCTGAGCTAGCAGCCAAACTGATGAACAAAAACAAAGAAAACTGAGAGACTTGTGTGTTGCCAGATGAAGAGGAAGAAATTGAAAAACAAAGCCCTGCTGTGCCATTCACCCCAAAGCAATATAACCAATGCGTAATCACTGAGACATGAGCCACAGGGTTGGAAAAAAAAAAGATTGGGAACAAAAGCTGCAATTGTGAAATTCACAGTCACGACAGCCAGAAACCTGTTTAGAGGAAAGCAAAGTGATGTCGAAACTGAAACTCACTGAGGACTTGGCGATGGTAGACACCTGTAGGATGAATGGGAACCAGCTGTGCTACTGGTGGGGCACCAAAAACGCTTGAAAAGAGGAAAACAGCACAAAATAGAGAACAACAAGAAGTTTGAGTGCCCAGCAGGAAGACAGAAGTCTATAGAAGTAATTTAGATCTAAATTTAAATACTGTACAGTATGTATGAACAGAGAACACAATGTACTACTTGTCTCACCAAAGAAGATGAACATATTTGGTAATGGTTTGCTATGTCATCTAGTGGCAAAATCATGGAATTGCATCACAATCCAAGTCCCAGATATTATACATACAATACAATACATTGATGAAGTGTCATGGTACCACCCACAGTATCACATGTGCAGTGCCATGTAGTGGAATGTCAAATATTGAAGCTTTATCAAGAGATGTTAATTCATCTGTTATTTATTTAGGCTTTAGTTTGTGGTAGCGATCCATTATGTTTGATTTTATCCCTCTTTGTTCCCCTTTTTGTCACTATAATCGAGTCTAATATGTATTTCCTGACATGTTTTTACATGAATGATGTATTTTTGCCTCTGCCACGCCTAAGCCTGGAGGGGATCATGTGTCTGGTCATGTGCATGTGGGTGTGTGTGGGCGTAAGTGTGTGTATCTGTCTGTGTGCAGCTAATCTTGGATACGACTGGACTGATCAGTCTAATAGTTTGTGTGCACATTTATGACTGTGCTCAACGACCTCTGGTGGTTGCAGCGATTCACAATTGTTGAAAAACCATTTTAATTGACTGTCTTACCGTCTGTTGCAAGCCACATTTTGGTCTTCATTGTGACTCAAAAACTGTAAATCATGGGAAAGTTTTGTCTTGTTTGAACCTGAGCATCTGCAGAATATTTCCATACCGGATATGTTATGATCCACTAAATTTAGGCACAATATGAGATGACTTAACCCCCTTTTTTGTTACCTTTGCGCTATCATGAGCTGGGAGGGAGAATTCAAGAGGGCACAGCTGTGCTGCGATCCAGCTGTCATAGCTGTGACTCGAATTTGTTCCATCTGCCACATGGCATCATACCACACTGGGAGCGTTTCAGAACCTGAGGGTTTTGTCTGCTTGATTTTGTAGACTTGCAGATTGCGCTGACTCATTTTTCTTTAATATTTGTGCTAGCAGGCTACGTACTGAAATGGTTTCTGGTCGTCTCATTTCTAAACATTGCGTACACCACTTCCCAAGCAAAGTTGTGATGTATAAAAACAGACTTGATAGGAGAAATTTTGACCCATGCTTACGAACATTTTGGAGATGGGAAATCGGCGATGGTGAGGTAGAAGCCTGATTGTAGGAAGTGTCGAATATTTTTGGTGCACACCACTTTTGGCTTTTGTCCATGTGTTTTTAGTATGGATCCTATGCATTGTTTTATAAATGAGACTGCTGGGAGACTTCTTATTGTTTATTTAGGGTTTTAAGTACATTGATAACTTCTTTAAAGTGTCTGAACCCAGACAGTTTTATTCATACTGTTTCTGGCTGTGTATTATATGGCACTGGTTACATTAAGTATGTGCGCTTTGTTTCTAAACACACAATGACTGTATGTATTCTCTGTTTTCAGGTGTGTGTCCGTGTGTGCGGCCTCCTAGAAGTCAGCCTGCGGCTCTTGGTAGCACTGTTCTTTCTCAGTTTCCTAGCAGTCGCTCTGTGGTATGCTCCCTTTATGCTCCTGCAGACTTGGAACTGCATCATCATGAGGAACCAAGAGGTGATCGAACAGCCAATGACAGTAGAGACATTGCCCGAGAGGCTGCTGGGAGAAGCACAAAACTTCATAAAGAGGTTTGTGTTGTTTTTTTTTTCTGGTCTTAAAAATGCCATCACCGCCATAAATCTCTGAGTATTAACTGCACCAGGACAGTGTATGTAGGATTGACTCAAAATAAACTACAGTGCCCATGTTTGTCTTTATGAAGCAACAAGTCAATACTTGGCTCACTGATGAGTTTGTTAGCTGATGCTGTTGTTTGTTTTTGGACATCAGTCGAGGTGTATGGCACCTAGGAATACAACACATGAGGAATCTATTACACAGGCAACACTGTTTATGGGATTTATTGACAGTAAGAGAAAATGTCGCCAATATCATCCTTTATCATACTTGACAGATACATTTCTCTCTTGTTCCCTGCAGGAATGTTGATCGTCCATTCCTCCTCTTCTTCTCATTGATCCATACCCACACACCACTCTTTACAACCCCCGCATTTGCTGGCAAAAGTCGCCATGGTCGCTATGGTGATAACCTAGAAGAAATGGACTGGATGATTGGTGAATATGTTGTCGCATGTTGATTAATATCTAGTTTGAGGGTGGTAAATCGGTTTGATTGGCTGTCAACTGCCAAGTGCAACATTTCACAAAGGTGCAAACATTCCATCATTACTGGGTTTTATACGTATAGAACATATATTCTATAATATAAAATTAATACCTCATGCACACTGTGTCAAGTTATGCTAACCACTAGAAATTACTTAACTTGTAAAAATAAGACCCAACTGTCCTTTAATCATCAGGCTGGTCAGAGCAATCTTACTGTCTCTCTCTGTTAAATAAGTTTGAACCCTCTGTTCAACCATCTCTAATGCTGTATTAATACGTTTTCTAGGTAAAATTACAGAGACGGTAGACTCCCTCGGCCTAGCCAACAATACACTGATGTACTTTACATCAGACCATGGTGGACATCTAGAGATTTCTGATTCCAGAAGCGGCCAGAAAGGAGGCTGGAACGGCATCTATAAAGGTAGACATCATCTTGTCCTTTTTTAAATGAAGAGTCACTTCAACTGCAATCTTTAATGCAGACATCCACATAAGTCTTGAAACATCTATCAACAGTATTTACAGTGTAGGAAGTTGTATTTTAAATGATTGATTATTTATACTGATTAAACATCACTGCGAAAGTCATCCACATGGGGTTAAAATAATCTCAAGCCACCAAAAACTACTATAGGTTATTGTAATAATTTTGAATATGAATCTATATCAGATTCTCAAAGTTTCGTGACTTGCTACTTAAGGAAATCCAGCATATGGTTGACGGCTACACAAGAAATATCTTTGTCATCTCTCTTCCACATTGTACTGCCAAAAATTGCTAACTTTAGCTAACAGCACTAGCATTCATGAGAGAACGTGATTCCAGTGGCACCGTGCGAGTGGTTGCAACATTCAACCATTAGCTTTCTTCAAGTTGTTATGTCTAACCCAATGGATGCTTGTTTGGGGGGCACAGTTTAACGCAGTTGCCGGGTGGTAAATGGTAAATGGACCTGCACTTGTATAGCGCCTTTCTAGTCTTCCGACCAATCAAAGTGCTTTTTACACGAGTCACATTCACCAATTCACACATACATTCACACACTGGTGGCCGAGGCTACCATACAAGGAGCCACCTGCTACTCAGTTTTTAACACACTCACATTCCGCTAGAACAGTCATCTGGAGCAATTTGGGGTTCAGTGTCTTGCTCAAGGATACTTCGACATGTGGACTGGAGCCTGAGATCGAACTGCTGATCCTCCGATTAGTGGACGACCTGTGCTACCTTCTGTGCCACAGCCGCCCCCATGGACTGTGAATGATTAAAATGTAATAGATGCATTCAGGGGCCACTCAAAATGTTTCTGAGGGCTGTAATTGGCCCGTGGGCAGCACTTTAAGAAACTATGATCTATATCTTGGTCAAATTACCGTTACACAAAGTGTAGGCCTATATCTGTCAAAAATAAAAAATATCTGTGTTGTGCAATTTCTCTTACTTATTTATAGGTGGTAAATCTATGGGAGGCTGGGAGGGTGGGATCAGGGTGCCTGGTATTTTCCGCTGGCCTGGCAGACTAGCAGCTGGAAAAGTTGTGGACGAACCCACTAGCCTCATGGATCTGTATCCAACACTGAAATATTTGGCCAAGGACACACAACCAGACAGGTAAAGACTGACGGACTATGCGTGTTGTCTTTGTATGTTGTGCACTCTCATCCCTCGAGTCATTTAAAAGCTTCTGTATTTGTTGAATACAATAGTTTACCAAACTATTGTTTACAGTTACAAGACGAGGGGAGGAAAGACCATGCAATTACTGTAAACATGAGCATAATGATTCAGGTGCTTTAAGCCAGATGATTACAGTGTGGATCCAGAAGTACCTCAATATGTGTAAACAACTGCAGTTTTTGTTTTGTAGAAGGCTGCTGTGGGGACACTGGTTAAGCTCATTTTCCAAGCATTGTGTGTGTCATTTGTACTTTCTACTTTTTTTATTAGCACATATTGACTTATTATTCATCCTGACATAAGAAGCTTGTGTTCTTCTGTTCCTAAGATAATTACTTTTCTTAATACAGTAGCTATAATATTATGATTTCATTGTGAGATAGTTTGTTATAGAACAAAAGGCAAAAAGTCTAGAATCTCTTTCTGCATGTAGTGTTGTGGTGACGCGTTCTACTTTGATTTTAAAGCACTTTATTTCATGCCCCCTCCCGTCTTCCCTCTCTCCTAGACAATTGGATGGATATAACCTCATGCCAGTGTTGGAGGGGAAGGTAGAGCGATCAGAGCATGAATTCATGTTTCACTACTGTGGAATCTACCTCAATGCAGTACGCTGGCACCCACCTGGAAGTAAGTTCACACACGTAGCACAAAGATGCATTCAATCAAATTGTATCATGTCATATCATATCATATCATATCATGATACTCACAGTATTTCGACTTGATGACATATTGACATCGTACTGTTACCCACAGCAACAACAAGCATGGCTAAAAGTGAAATTACTACCAACTCCACAGTGGTTCCAAAAAGAGGAGCAGCTTCAGTAGCATGGAATAAACTGTGGCGTCCTTGATGTTTTATGAACAGCCCCGGACTTCTCAGACTCTTTTAACGAGTTACAGCGAGTTACCCTCTTTGCAGAGGGAACTCATTCAGTGGCCCCTCTGGCAGCAGCGTAGCATCTCTCTCTCCCTATCTTCTCTTGCTGTGCGCACATGGGAGTTGGTGTCGTCAAGTGATTAAACCTTTGGTAATGTAAACCTACATGCCGTTACGGCTCAACAAAAAACTACATATATGTGAATGTGCAATAGTTATGGTAGCATAAAAGCCTGTCACAGGTTACAGTGTGATGATTAGAGGAGAAATGACACGTAGAAAAAAAGAGGAGAAAAAACGCTTAGTCATTTAGAATTTTGCTATAAGAGAAAGAAATCACCTGTTGATTTATATATATATACATATATAGATATATGTATAAAGATCCCAGGGTACATTTTTTTTTGTATTTGGGAACTGTTTAAATGTGTAATTTGTGGTAGATTTAATTTTGTTGATCTATTAATATTGTATACAGAATCTGAATCTCACTCTGAGTTACTGTTGTTGTTAAAGGATAACTTTGGTATTTTTCAACCTGGGCCCTATTTCCCCATGTGTATGTGTGCGTATGATTCATAGGTACAACTCATTTTAAAATTGGTTCAGTATTGAGGGAGGCGGATGCAGCCGGGAGCCGCGAAACGAGCTAAAATGGTAATGGGGGCAAATGTGTCCTGTATAAGTTTGTGCATTAAAAGTGATTTTTTTCGCCACTGACCGGTTCAGATCGCCAGTGCTATCTCTGTAAATAGCATACTAAGCGTTTCCCTTACCTCTAGGCTGTGTGACGTCATCTCGCAAGATAATACATAATACATTTTATTGAGCTTTAACATGTGCATGCTCACATCTTCTCCTGGTGTGTTTCCATCCAGGTGACTCCATATTCAAGGTGCACTTTTTCACTCCCAACTTTTCTCCCCCGGGAGCCGGTGGATGCTACGACACAAAGGTTTGTCTGTGTCATGGAAAATTTGTGACGTATCACAACCCACCACTGCTGTACGACCTGTTCCACGATCCCTCAGAGTCCCGCCCACTGTCCCCTGATACTGAGCCACGATACGCTGAAGTTCTTGAGCAGATCGTCAAAGCTGTGGCGAGACATCAGACTACCATCCCAAACAAGCAGGTGTCTGATGATACTCCACAACCCAATGCAGATGAACCCAGCGTTGAAAGCCAGATGACATGGAACAAGATTCTGTGGAGACCCTGGCTTCAGCCCTGCTGTGGGACTTTTCCATTCTGCGGCTGCAAAGAGAACACAACGCATATTTAAGGAAAAAAATCCACCAGACAGTCCTAAATAATTGACAAAGAACAGCCTGGATTTGGTAAAGCTCGTCTTGTAGCTACAACAGGGTTTCACTTTTTCTCAAGAATTGTTCAGGGTGCATTCATGAGCTCTCACCATTCCAGTACTCCAGAGTAATTCAGTGATGTGACTTGAAAATGTTTGGCTGCAGGCATGCAAAGTTGTCACCTTTTGGTAAAATTTGACATTTGAATCTAAAATAGGTCACCTACATTATTTGTGTAGATCCCCTGAGTTTTTGAAATTTGAGCCGGGGGGTCTGGGTCTATGAGGATAGAGTGATGAGGAATTAAATGAGTTTCTGAGTTATGGGGGAAAAAAAAAGAAATAAGCTTCTGGAACCTGAGCCGGCCTTAAGGTAATAACCTCTTACAGTAGCAAAACAGATGATAACCTTAGTTGGTTTGTATATGTCAAGCTTAGCCTGATTAGGATGAGTTGTTCTGATTTAGAATTAGCCATCACAATTTGGATTTAACATTAGGCGATAGCCTTATCCTTATTCCCATTGAGTGTAAAGTTAGCTAGCTTGTTATTCCAAATTCCACTCGTTCACCAACGTTACCATTTTGCAAACAAATACAACATAAGTTGAGCTCCTCCGCCAAAGTGCCAACTAACAATGCTAGTGTTAGCCCCTAACTGTGCGTTCACACCAAACGCGATGAACGCCACAAGTTTCCATTTAAAATCAATGTAAATGACGCGATGACACGCGATGTCGCTTCGGGCGACGTGTTTCAGGCGATAAGAGCGACACGATGAAGCGATGACGCGTCCATCGCCTCATCACGTGTGTCGCTTGAAGTTGAAAAATTTGAACTTTTCAAGCGATATCGCGTGACGCTGTGCCGCGACATCCAATCAGCGTTGATATCTTAGCACCTGTTACATTGAATTTATTCTATGTATTTCATTCATTTTCATAAAGAAATTATAAGCAACTAACCGGAGACAGATGGACAGGTGCTCCGCAGCTGGGATGGAGTGCCTGTAGTTGGTGTCCAGGCGGGAGATCCTCGCACCGATACGGGCCAACAGGTCCTCAAACTGCGCCAGCGTCAGCCTGAAGTACCGCTGGAAACGACTGTCATCCAGACGCAGCTCTTGCAGGAGGTGATGATATTCACCCAGCTGTGTGCGTTTCTGGAGGATATTGTGAACCCAGACATGGCGGCGTTTGGGTCTCCGATCCAAATCAGATGTCCACAACAGATAAAGAGCAGCTACGGTAGTTAACTCAGCCATGGTTGATGAGAAAATAGCAGGAGGTGAAGAAAATTGCGGGAGGAGGGTTGCGTCATCGCGATTGAAGCGATGATCAAAAAGGTGACATTTGTGATCAAGCGACGAGATACTCGCGTTACGGGCAATGACATCGCGTCCATCGCGTTTGGTGTGAACGCACAGTAATGGTTCCATTTTCTTTATGCTAAGATAATATTAGCAAGGCTAACACTGACATAACATGATGCAGTAGTGTAGATATTTAGCTAACATGCAATTACACAACCCCAGCTAGGTTTACGCCTGGCAGAGCCAAATATGCACAATTTATGTAAAAATATACTGTATATTAGACTTTTTACATGCCGTATCTATATATTCAGTGAGAAAAGGGGAGCACAGAGGAATGCAATTAAACATAATCAAACACTACCACAAACTAGAGCCTAAAAATATAGCGGTTGAATTAACAAATTGAATGAAGATGTTCTGTTTATATAGCAAAACTATAATGACAAAATTCTGTGCGTAAATTCAAGATGGGTGGTAACATCTGTGATCACTTACTTAACTTGAACTACAGTATGTGAATTGAATGTTCATTATCTGGTCTTATCCATTTCAGAGTGAGAGAATTCAGGGAGAAAGAATCTGCTTTCAAAGGAGATTGACGCAGGTGTGAGATTTTTTCGTACAAGCCCTGAACTGATGCCCCTTACTTTACTTTTATAGCAGTAAGATAACATTAATTCTAGGGTGAGTTTTCCCGATATCTACATGCTAAAATCAACTGTAAATTCACATGTTAAAGGTGATATTTCAGAAAAATTATTTTGTCACATTTTCACCCCTGACGAGTTTGCATGCCTCTTTGCCTACAGACAGTGTAAAATCTTGGATTTCCATCAAGTCATTACTTGCATTTAGAAGCTTTATTTAATCTGAAATTCAAGTTGATTGCACAATGCAATTAATTGTGTTTTGATTAAGATAGAAAGCTTAAAAAAGATTATATCAATTAATCAAGCAATTGATCACTTACGTGTCACATGAAGTCATACCAGGTCTAACTCCAGGGAAATGCAATCCAGTCAGCACTCTGAACTTGTATATTGCAGTTCAGTCCTTTATTGCCTCTTCTTTCATCACTGGCAGCTACTTTATAATTGTCCATGTTTTCAGATGAGCTGCTGTACATGCGTTTATGGCATTCAGATTTGTTTTAGTAATCTATGGTTTCTGGTGGTGACATTTTTTAACTGTAGTCTTGGGTACAGTTGCCTTTGTTGTTGTACAAATTAAATCCACAACAGACTCAGTGAATTCATTATATCATCTGTGACATTTACAGAGGTGTCCTGGAACGTGCTCCAGTATTTAAAATGAAGACACCTTCAAAACTGAAACAAAATATTATTGAAACCGATCAAAATTACAGTGAAGATTAAACAATGCAATGACGACACTGTAACAGGGACAAGAGCATTGTTACACTGTAAACTTGCAATAGAGCCAAAAAAGATGCGTCTTTGCAAACATGAAGGGGAAGTCAGATGCTTAGAAGTGTGTCATTCATCACGTGAAGGATCTGTTCAGTTTGTGCTCCTATTTAGTGCAATAATAAAATCAGTGCTTTAAGGATGGCACAATAAAATGTACATTCCAAAAAATCCTGCCTATCTGTGTCATTGATTACATTATGTATTAATTATTGTTATTGATTTATTTTTTATGTTTTTATTGAGTTTCACAATTTTGCACAGCTTTCTCTGCTCACGCGACCGTTACCCACTTCCAGCTGACCTCCACCCCATGGTGCAGTGACGCCCAAAATAAAAGAATAAAATAGAATTTAACAGTCATAAATAGGTTAAAGGGGGAGAGAGAGAAAAAGAAAAAAAAGTTTCAAGGAGTTACATGGCTTGATTGACAGTTTCAACAGTAGGGAAGTTGTGCCATATCACAATACAGATGAATGACTGCATAATTTAATCATAGTTATTGTCCCCTGAATTCTATGAGGCCCCGTGTTAATGTTTTAGTCAGCGTGTTCACATCCAGACTGATGGCTAGGTTATCTGACCTCACCTTTCTTTTATAGATCTATCTCAGCAAGTCCAGCATTTCAGTTAAGCAGGACTGAAAACAGAGGTCATATTTTTCAGGAAGGTAGTTTAGACCCTGTGCCATTAGAGGGCAGAGTCAGACTGTGTTTGGCTGGTAGTTCACTCTGCTGTGTGTTTGTGTGTGTGTGTGTGTGTGTGTGTGTGTGTGTGTGTGTGTGTGTGTGAGAGAGAGAGAGAGAGAGAGAGAGAGAGAGAGAGAGAGAGACGAGGGGTGTGAGGGTTAAGGGTGAAATTGCAGCTCAGTTCTGTCACTGCAAGCTCTTGTGCTGTGTGGTTTGAATTCTGCAGTAGTATTAGGATTATATGTATTTTCAGTGCATAACAAATTAAGGAGTGCATAGGGGTAGGTATTATGAAGGGCACATGACATTGCATGTATTGCTGTAAGCATATAAGCGAAGGTTTGAATTTGAATCCTCCTTTGTGCATTTTTGTGTTAAGCTTTAGTGAAACGAAAATACCTCAGTTATCATGTTTTAATGTATATTTTCTCTTGCCCTTTGTTATCCATTGATACTGCACCATTTTCCTCATTTTTCCATCCTTGTCTCGATTCTCCTCAAAATTCCTCCTTGTCACGTCTTCCTTCCCTTCCTCTTCATCCGAGTTGTTTTGATGATACTTTTTGATCTCAGAAAAAGGGAATTTTTCGTTTGACTCACTCCCCGTCAGGAATGTCAAAGCCCAAGGTCAGCCACAGAACAGCATTGCTCAAAGACTCTGAGGCAGGGTGGGTGCTGTCCACCAGGGTGTCCTAGTTTGACCACAAGGACACCCTGTGGCACCACAGTTCTTCAGCAATAAAAGACTTTAACGACTGTGTGAAATTCTCCATCATCAGTGTCATCAGCGCTGATTAACATCATCATCAGCGCTCGAACTTGTCTCCCTCCAGCAGTGGCTGGCTGTCAAAACATCAAAGTTTTCCAGCCTACAATTCTTCTCCTTCCTCCCCGCCTCTCCGATTCCTCTTCCTCCATCTTCTCAAATTGTTTTCTTCATCTCCTCCTTGTTGTCCTCTCTTCTTCCTCCTCGTCTGCCTGCAGAAATGTCACTCGCATCTGCAAGTGAGGAGGGGAATTTCATCATCATCATCACCATCATCACTGTAATCGTTGCTATCACGGCCGTAGTATTTACTTCTCTTCCTCCAGCAGAGACCCGTACATCAAACACTCAGTTCATTACAGTAGCCACTCCATTATATCTCTAACAGTAAGTCATGCAGTCGACCATACATAATGACATTTGGCTGTATGTCAAAGTTAATGATGGTTGGTGGGATAGAATGTTGCTGGCTGTACATCATGTCACACAAACGCAACCATGTGCACACGTAACCTCACAGACACATGCATGTGTGCACAGACGTAAACGCGCACATGAGTTCATGCACTCACATGCACACAGTATATCATGTTGTTTTGAACAGATCAGTGGTTTTCTGTAAAGGTCAGTGTTTGAGGAGATGCCATAAAGCATTTTTATGACCCTCTGTTTGACACTCATAAACACACATACAGCTTGAAAAGAAGTGAATATGGCATGGCAGCCTAAACACACTGGAAATAGCTCTCCTGTATTGAGCATGGTACACAACCAGCACCAGCTGAGAGGCTGTTGTTGCATTGTTTTTTCGATTTAGTTGTGGCTTTGTGCCTATAGTTTGGGTGATGCTAAGAATAGAGGTCATTATAGAGCAGAGAACGTTTTTAAAATGAACATCGTCAGTCAGCTGTGGCAGAATATCTTTGTTGTGGAAAATCTGTTTCTCATCTTGGCAATTAGTTTTCACTGCCATTTATATTTACTCACAGTGCCAAGCCACAGTTGTTCTATCAGTCAAAGTGTGTACTATTTTTGAATGACAGCAAACAAGTATTGTAACCTTTCACCACCTTCTCCCATCATTCTCTCTGCTCTGATTACTTCCTCTGAACTGCTGCTTCATTGTTGTGCATTTATAATCATAAACCACTAAAAGAATAGTTCAGCATTTTGGGAAACGTGTTTTGTTTTTGAGAGTTAAATGAGAAGATTGATAACACTTTTATGTGTTAGCTTTATTGCTGCATGGTTTCCTGAGTTGGGGAGTCGTTCTTCTGACTTTGGTGTGTTCATAAGCTTTTAATTCAGGACGCAGCATGGATGCCACAAAGACGATGCACTGTATTTAAACAACATGTTGATAGCTGTTTTGCACCGGCACATTCTCTAAAACAATTACGATATGGCCTTATCTGGGTTGTAATTCAGGTAAATGCTAATAAGTACATTTTCTAACTAGTCTAAATCACTCTGTGTGGACATGTAACAATTACAACCTAATATCATACTACAAACTGGAGCCTATATGTGAGCAAACAATTGATGTGCAGCATGTGAAATGAAAAAAAAAAAGTTACTTCTCCACCATGTGTCTGTGTATAATATCTCAAAGTTGGCAAGTCGTGTATCAAAACTTTTCTGGACTTTCCAAGTGCCTCCAGCTTGAGTGGGAGTTCATGGGAATGTACCCAGTGGGGGACTAACTTTTATTTTTATTGCAAAAATGCATCATAATTGTGAAAGCTGGAACTATGGCTGGGAAACAATTAGCATAGCTTAGCTTATTGGTAGCAAGAGACAGCTAACCCGCCTGGCTCAGTCCAAAATTCAAAAATACAAACACTTTAACACTTTCAGCACATTATATTGTTTTTTAGAGTCTTACATAAACACAAATGCAACAAAACACTTTGTTGGTTTTACTTATTCTTTGTTCATAACCAGTTGTCCTGTTAAGAGTCGAGGGTGTACTGTCCCAACTGATTTGGGCGAGAGGTGGGGTACTCCCTGGACAGGTCCCCGACTTTCACAGGGCTAATACATAGAGACGCTCACATTCACACCTACGGGCTTTTGAGTTCCAGATTAACCTAAATTAACCCGACCGAAATTAGTATAATCCAAAGGGGGGCTGGGTTCAGTCTAAGAGATAGAGTGAGGAGCTCGGGCATCCGGAGGGAGCTCGGAGAGCTGCTGCTCCTTTGCGCCGAAAGGGGTCAGTTGAGTTGGTTTGGGCATCTGATCAGGATGCCTTCTGGGCGCCTCCCATTAGAAGTGTTTCGGGCACGTCCCACTGGTTGGAGGCTCCAGGGCAGATCCAGAACACACTGGAGGGATTACATATCTGGTCTGGCCTGGGAATGCCTTGGGGTCTCCCAGGAGGAGCTGGAAAGCATTGCTGGGAAGAGGGACGTCTGGGGTGCTTTGCTTGGCATGGATGGATGGATGAATGGAATTAACCTTACCTATAACTTAGGACTTCCTGGACTCAGAGACAGAGACGTAGACTATATGCTGTGCTGACCATACTTAGCAACCACACTATGCCTGGAAATACTGCACAGACGTATTAGGCAGATGGATAAACTGTTCTTCAAGAAACAGTTGGCACATAGATTTTTAAAACAAAGATTTTCGGTTAACGGAAGACTAATCGTCTGCTGGGTTAAGCTCCATACATTATGTATGGAGCTTAACACATCTAACTCTGTAATAGAAAATGAAATGGTGAATTAGTCCCTTTAACTCACCTAGCAGCCTCTCCACCTCGAGAGTGCATGCTGTGCCTTTTTTACCCACGGCCATGTCGCAGTGAGAGGATTCACAAGATAATTGGAGACCTACAAACACAGTAGCTGTTTGTTGACTGTGGAAGTGTGGGGAGGAAAGAAAAAGAAATGCTGTTTATATAGGTGTAAACGAGGGCAGAGTCTCTGTGGCCACTCGGTAGCCATTTTACTGTTCTGTTTGGCTGAGGTTTTCTTTAAACCACAACTGACCTCTGTGGTAAAACCATCACATACCATTACAGTCTACAGCTCATGCCCAACACTGTGCGCACTCTTTGCCCTTTTATGCCATTCATAATTTCCTCAGAATTAAAGCTAACATTGTCTGCAGTGGGATGGAAGGCCCGGGGCCACATGACCAGGAAACTAAATGAGAAATACACAGCACAATGTTAAAAAAGCTGATGCATTCAAGAGGGGAAGATTTCACAGAGGTTTCTGCAGAATACAATATAATCAACTTACATCCATCCACTTTGTAATTCTCTGACTTCCCTTACTAACCTGTCCAAGACCGATATTACTCCATCAATCAATCTGTTTGCCCATATATCTGTTTCTCCTTCTGGTTAATACACTTGGCCTCACCTTCCACAACAAATTGCTGTGGCAAAGCACCATTACAACACTATTACATTAGGAAGCACAGGAAATGTGCGATGGAGAGAGAGTGTCAGGTTTGTCAATGAATGAGGCTTTTAGAGAACAGGACCGAGGTGTTTATGCTGCTATTAGTGCCAGTTGGATTTGTGTGTGTGTGTGAGTGTGTGTGCAGGATATGTCGTTATGTGTAAGGACACAGTACAGAGAGGAGAAAGTATTTGCATGCGTAGCTGTACGCTTATTTATAACATGAATGTCAGTGCAGTGGAGGCAGATTTTTGTGCGTGTACGTATTAGTTTGTGAGATTATATGTGTGTGTGTTT